GATTGGTCCAGCCAACTTCTGTATTCCATTACCCAACTTCTACAATAAATGACGTGTGGCCAACATTGTTTCCTCTTGTATAACACACCTATTCTGCTCACTACCATCCTGCATTATTTTGAAGGAAATCCCAGATAACATATTCAATAGTTTGGATCTTAAATGTCCCCCAAAGTCTTTCTATTACAGGTTTAGTTCCAAGCATGGTACCTTTGGGAGGTGGGAGAAACTTAAAGAGGTCAGGCCTAAGAGAAGGTCTTCTAGGCACTTTGGATATACCCTTGGAGGGGACAGTGGAACCCTAGACTCCTTCCTCTTCATCATTTTTCTAAAGCTATGAGGTGAGAAGCTTTGTTTGCCATATGCTCCTGTCATAATCCCAAAGGAACAAGACTACTTGATCATGGATTGTCATCTCCAAAACTGTGAGGGCAAATAAGCTTATTGCCTCTAATCCCACCACTCTGGAAGCTGAGACAGAAGGAATGCAAGTTCCACCACTGCCTGGAAATTTAGTGATTTAGTGGGAACCTGTCTCAGAGTAAAAGGGCAGGGTTGGGGGCTAGGGTTTAGCTCAGTAGAAAGGTGCCGGGGGCAATCCCCAGTGCTAAAAGCTAACTACAAATTTCATATATGTGAATGATATACAATTTCAGATGTGTGAATTTCTAAAATATGACTTAAAAATACTACAAGGCTAACCTATTAACAGATTCCTTAATATCATCAAATAGGGAGTGTTCACATTTTCCCAATTAGCTTCAAAATTTTTTGATGTGTTTGAATTAAGATCCAAAATTAAACTCATATTTTAGAACTGGTTGGTATGTCTGGTTTTGGTCATCTATACACTTCCACTCCATGTCCTTCATTCTTCCCAAAGATTTTTTTCCTTTTTTTTTTTTAATTTTGTTGTTGCTGTTGTTGAGTAAAGTAACTCGTTTACTTATAATGGTTTCTCAGAGTCCGATTCTATCACCAGTGTTACTTAACATACTTTGCTGTATTCTTTTGTATTTCCAGTAAATTAGTATTTAAATCTAGAGACTAAAGCAGATTTATTTCCCCCCTAAGACTGATTCACAGATAATTTGTATATACTTCCATCAGTATAGTTCATAACATCTGGTTGTCTTTCAATCAATGATCAATGCCTTCATCCACTGACTCATGACAAGCCACAAAAAGCTGGTAATGTATTTTAATCATTCCTTCTTTATTAGATTGACTACTTTTATGAAGACAAACTTCCCTCTCATCAACTATTTGGTTGAGGTATAAACTGGAGAAGTAGTTAAATGTTTTATTTTTTTATTTACCAGATTTCAAAATAATGAGGTTATTTCCTAGCATCCTGACTATCCTTGCTTATGTTTGTTTTACTGCATAACTCACGAATATACATACATTTTGATGAGTATTATTTCACTGCAGTTAGTTGTTCTGGGGTCTGTATTTCTGGTCTTAGACTTGGAATCAGCTATTTCTTCAAGGAGCCTCATCTTCCTTTAGTGGGAAATGTATTTAGAGATCACAATCTGGATATAAGAGGTGTACACTACTATTGGTTTAGTCATTGTTTATAACTTTCCTATGGACAGAGCTGGGAATCTATCTTTTAAAAAATATAATCAACAGATGACTTCATATGTTATCCCATATCACATTTATCCCCTAAGACACAAATTTGGAATATAAGCAGATGTGGAATCATAATACTAACACCACCACCAATAATATAATTACTGAAAACAGTTTACAATTTTTGTTGGAATTCTTTCTGAACCTAGAGTATACATCAAGTTCCTGACTTATAAACAAGTTCTGTTCCAGGAGAATGTTCAGAAGTTGGATTCCTTTGTAATCTGACAAAGTGAGTCTTATACAGTACACCTGTAAATCTTATACAGGACTCCTGTGAAAGTTTCCAATTCAAATTTCATATGTTGGGAAGTCACCTTATTCTTCTAGGGGCGTGCATCAAATTACTGGGTTTTAAAGTCACTTGGAATAGTTCTTTTCTGTGTGGTTATGCCACCAAAAGGCTATATAATTACTTTCATCTGTTTAATTTCACTTTTTAGTTTTTAGATATCATCTTTTAAAATTTAATGTTAATGTATAATTGTGTAAAATGTTACAGGACTTCAAAGTCAAAACTATAAATAAGATGTAATCAAAGACTATCATTAACCTCTTCTTCCTTCTTTTTCTTTAAGGGCAATCATTATTTTAAAATTCACAAGTTATTCTTCTGTTGCTTTCTATTAATATAAGTGCAGGTACAATGTAAAGTGTTCCTATTGTTTACATATACTATACACATTTTCTCCACCTTTCTTCTTATTAATTAATGATATCTTTTGGGAATCATTTTCTAGTACCAAACAGAGATATTTCCCTATTCACATAACAGCTGAGAAGTAACTGTGTATTTCTCAATCTATTCAGCCAAAGCCCGATTAATGGGAATTTGAGTTATTTTTAGTTTTTTGTTACTTGAAACAGTACTTTAATGAATCACTTAATGACCTGGATTTTTGACCGTGTACCTTCAGGAAAGATTCATAGGGGTGGCTGTACCAAGTCAAAGAATATATTCACATATAATTTTGTAGGCTACTGCCTAATTCCCATTCACAGGAGTTGTATTATTTTATACTCCTACCAAAAATGTGTGAGACTGCCTGTTTCCTGGCAGGCAAATGTAGTATGTTGTCAAACCTAGATTTCAGTGTCTGATAGGTGGAATATTGTAATCCATTGTAGTTTTATTTTACATTTTCCTTATTATGAGTAAGTTAAGATTTATTAACATTTCTTTCTCTAAGAACTGGCTGTTAAAAATTGTAGCCAGGTTTTCTGTAATAGTGGTTCACAAAGTGTGAGCCTTGTATGCTAGTAACCTTGCAACATAATCTGGGATTTTTTTTTTTAGAAATGCAAAGTTTTAGACCCCAATCCAAACTCACTGAATCAGAAACTCTAGGGAGAAAGCACAGGAACCTATGTTTTCAAAACCTCACAGACAACTCTGATTCACCACAGTTTGGGAAGCACTGGTCTGTAGAGTTGACCTGACCACTGTATTTTAACTCCCATAGGTTTGTCTGATTATTTTATAATTAAAATAATGCCAAACTGAAGATTCAAAGGCCATGTGACACTAATTCATTCTTTAGTTGATTAATTCAACAATTAACAAATAGATGTTAAGTCCCTGCATGAATCAGTCACTGTAGCAGGCAATGTCTTTTTGTTTCATCAAAGAGACACGGTCACTGCTCCCAGAAGCTCACTATCCCTTGAGGAAGAATGAAACTAGACAAGCCAATTTAAGTCTTACCAAAGTGAATCACAAGGTGCTGCTATGGCACAGAGCAGGGGACTTCAGCTAGCCTAGTGCTCAAGGAGGTACAAATTGAAAAAAACAGTGAGTTAAGTCTTCACTCCCATCGAGTGGACCAAAATTTTAGAAAGGAATACCTATTTCCCCCAGGTATATGGGTGGAAGCATGAAAGATTGCAGCCTCTTTGAAAAGGAATCTAGGTGGTTCTATTAATGCTTCAAGCATAGCAATTCCACTCCTAGATACTGATCCCATTGGAAGAATGTGTCCATTCAAGGATTTTTCCTGTGGCACTGTTTGGTGCACCAAACACTAGTTACAAAAGAATAAATGCCCCATGGTAGGGGATGGTTTAATAAATCATCATGTATCTACATCCTGAAGGCACTGGTACAAATAAGCCATATCACTGGTTTGAAAGTCTTTCTATGACATACTTAGAATAAGCAAACAATATGTAGAAAAATGGGTATACAGGTTGAATATCCCTCATCCAAAGTCCTCAGGACAAGAGAAGTGTTTTATATTTCATATTCTGGAATATTTACATATGTGTGTGCATATGTATGTGGTTGTGTATATATCATGGAGATAAGACTCAAATCTAAGCACAAAATTCATTTATATTTCGTATATCCTTATGCACAGAGCCTGGAGATAATTTTAAACAATATTTTTAGTGTACCTGAGTTTTGACTGTGACCCACCACATGAGGACAAGTTGTGGAATTTTCTATTTGTCATCTCAGCATTTAAAAAATTTCTGATTTTGGAGCAGTTCAGATGTTAGTTTTTCAGATAAGGGATGCTCAACCTGTAATGTCATCTCTTTTTCAAAATACTCACAAAATTCATACATGTATGTACATATATATTGATATATGATTATAGAAGAAAATATGAAGGAATAAATACCAATCTCAGTGAGCCTCTATGATGGCCAGGACGCGGCAGCTACTCTACTATCCTGATTGTGTGCTTTCCACAGTGCAGATAGAAAGCTAAGGACGACATGCTCAAACATCACTGTAGGCAGATATGGAAAGAAAGACGGTGGCAGGGTGGACTCGGGTAGACTCCCTCTGCAGTGTGGACAAGCACCTTCGTTGCTCTCATCTTTGCCTGACTGAACTCCCCATGTCCAGCCACTCGTGTCATGTGCTGCTGGTGTGGATCTAGGGTATACAGCGAGGCTCTGGAGTCAACCATGCTATAGTAGCAGCAGGTCCCTAGAGGGGTCACACACCCAGCTTTGCAGCTGCAAGCCAGGACCCAGCAAGGGGCAACAGTTCCCTCACCAGGTTCTGGGGCATTTCTGGAGGCACAGGCAGACTTCCAAATGATTTCATGCACACCCGCTTCTCTAAGCCTAGTGTCAGTCTGCTTAAAATAGCTTGGTTCTTGCTTTCTGAAAGTGCAACTGTGTGATTCAAAGGGTAAGCAGGCAGGGGGAGGAGTGTGAGGCAGCTGTGAAAATTTAAACATATGAATATACGAAAGTGCACTGAAAATAGTGATATTATTAATTTTAAATGCTATTTAAAACTCATCTGTCATCCCAGCAGATGTACATGAGGACTTTCAAAGAACTTTTTAATTAATGCAGAAAGGGCTCTTCCCTATGGAGCTTCTCCCAGGCAGAAGTCTTACCAGCAGGTGTGGAAGTGGATTTGGGTGCTGGAAGTAAACTCCTGCGGGGCGTTGTCACACTGGAGGATGCTGCAGAGGCCACCCGGCTGGGCCCCTTAGGTGTGTCCTTAAAAGGCACAGCTGCCTTCTGAGCTATCTGTTCTTCACTCCCGAAGGTTGAACCTGTGGGAATCAGACAGTATTTGTGTTAGTCAAAACTTCATGAAAAATGGATGCCCTCCTCCTCGCCTTTGGCACTTGCCAACCAATCCTCAGGCTGTGTTGACTTTAGAAGTTGACCTCTTGATGAATGGCCTTGAAAAGTATTCTTCAAGAACAGGTTATGGAAAAGAACTCCCTTTAGCTAAAGCACAAATAGTCTGTCACTCAAATCTCCTACACTGAAGACAGAGCAGCCTCTCTCCTCTGAAATTGTACACACGTGAACACACACACTTTGCTTATGTGTATGTAGAATTGTATGTGATTATGACAAGCATCAACCGGATAATTCCCAGAGGATGAGCAGTTGTTTTTTGAAATAGAATGTGAGTGACCCAGGGGAGATGAGAATAAAAATTCAATCATCCCTTGATATCAGTGGGGGATTGGTTCCAGAACCCGCTGTGGATATCAAAATCTGCAAATGCCTAAGTCCCTTAAAAAAAATGCCATAGTATTTACATAGAACCTATAGGCATTCTCTGCTTTTAATAATTTCTAAATGACTTATAATACTTAATACAATGTAAATTCTATGTGAATAGTTGTTATATTGTTTTGTATAGGAAATAATGACAAGAATAAGAGTCTGTATGTTTGTGCACGTTCAGCACAGAGGCAATGTTTTTCTTCACCCTTTACTGTGGGGCTGGGGATTGAATTCTGGGCCCTGCCCAGGTGAGACAAGTTCTCTACCACTGAGTTATACTCCAAACCTCTGAATAATTTTGATCAACATTTGGTTGAATTCAGAAATGTGAATAGTGTGGACATAGCCCAGGATATTTGTTCAGAGATCCTAGAAATGTAGCTCAATTACCTCCAGAATAGGAGGACTGCAATTAAGGTAAGGAGGATAAGACAGAGAATCTTTTTGAAACTCACAAATATTTTTTGTTTGGGAAGTGAAGGCCTCTTCAATCTTGGAGGACCTTGCATTCCAGCCTCATTAAATTCACAAGCAGAAGACATGTATGAATAATTACAATTTACTACTCAATATAAAACCCTTTTTTTTTTGTCTACAAGACATCTCCTCACAATCAACTGCTCTGACATTTTAAAGATACTGCATATTGGGATGTGTATCTTTTTTGTCTTGTGTCAGATTTAAATATGAAAAATTGTTGTGATACAAACTTTTCTTCCAGATCTTTTGTGATTTACATATTTGCAAACTCTTAAAGGTAATGACACCACCATATATTTCCTGTTAAAAGCAAAATCTTTTATATACATGTCTGAGTACACCTGTGAAGCCTAATCTAATAATTTAGAGAGTCTGGTTGTGCTGACATTGCTATTTGTTTGGAACAAACCTGTCCAGTTGTAGGATCATGACCATCTACCATGAAAAATAAGCAATGACATCTGGAGAAGATTGGATAACGACACAATTGGAGTGAAAAATTAAATTTTTTGTTTCCATCATTTTAAAAGGATGGTCATAATATTCTATTGAGAGAGGGCCTGCATTAAAATGGTATCATTAGTAAAATGCTGTGCAGTGTTCACTACAACCAGAGGTTTCATCAACTATTTAGAGTAAGAGATTGTTGATTTTCTCCCTCTGAAAACTTGAAAGTCTATTTAAAATCTGTGAGATTTATGTTGTTTCTGAGGAAAAGGATATGTTGTTGGAAGGGAAAATATAGAATGTACTATTTTCTCAGAGTTTATGCCCTACAGTTCTTTTGAGGTGCTGTGCAATGATTTTAAGAATTGTAAACTGTTAGGGAAATGCAGTTGACCACCTCATGCCAAACAAACATGCTGAGACTCCACAGAAAGGGGTCTGCTTTGTCTTGGGTGTCACAAAAAGAAGCATGCATGTGTTTGATCCAAACTCAGTCAGAAAAAGTAGCACCAGAAGCTTGCAACTCAGACAGCCATTGCTTTTGAATTATCAAGCAGGTTCACCAGTCCCCAGTGCTAGAAAACAGAGAGTCTCTGGAAGTTTGTATTATATTTCAGATGAGAGAAGGGCTTGGTCACTGGAAATATTTTGCATGGAATTATCTAATGGCTAGCTTACTGCTGACACACTGCCAGAATAAGCTATTCACTGAAATGTGTAAAGCTGAATTGAGCACAAAACTGTTCACACACAGTCTTTTATTTAACAATTTATTAAAATGTCTTAAGAAGAGAAATGTTTTGTATCATTTGCAGAATTCAAATAGCCTTTTATCAAATCCTTTTGCATCTGGTATCATTTTAATACACGCAATTTATTATTCAGTGAACATGTCAATTTTGAGATTTGGCTGCTTTCCAGGCTGGGAAGAAATCTGTCTGTGAAGTACATTGTCAGGGAAGCTATGCACTTGAGAGAGGCTTGCATTATTAAAACATGAAATAAAATGAAATAATAAAAACCTTGTCTTTTTTATTACTGTGAGATACAGCTAGCAATAAACAGTTCCATTTTTTAGAGACCAATTTCAGTTGGCCAGTAATTAAAGCCGCATTATTCAGTAAAAGTACTCTGAATTTGGAAATGGCTGTTAAATTCTATAAATACTCCAAGTACTTCATACCAATGATGACAACATTAAACCACTGCTTGAGAAGAGGAAGACAACAACTAAATAAACTACTTATATGAGCCAGAAAAAAGTGGAGAATTAAAGAGTCAAAATGGTTCACGTGGCTATTCAGTCATCTCCTTCCCAAGCAATCCCGTCTTACTCTGGCCCCAATGTTCTAGACAGTTTATCCACCCCACAGCTTGGCCACAGAGCAGCAGAAATATTGGCAAAGTACAGACAGGGTAGTAAGATGACCAAGGCCTGAGCACCACCTCCCACACCTACCATATCCCTTCAGTTTCTTCATTTATCAGCGGGAAATGATAATCTGCTTCATAGAGCTGTTGTGAGAATTAAAAGATCTAATGTAAGTGAGTTTAAAAAGTTGATGCAAGAGTTAAGAAGGAAAATGGAGTATGGCATATTGTATATGCTGATTGTTAATTATTAACTCACATGCTAAATTTAAGTTCTACAGATAATCATCAAAGCAAATCAGTTTTTCAAAGTAACTTGGAAAATTTTTCAGATGGGTAGTTCTACATGAGAAGAAAGGAAAGAACAGAAGGAAATTGCATCGTACCTGCAGGTGATGGGACTAACGAGAAGAATGAGGATATGGCTACCTTTAAAAATATGATGAACAATTTCAGACCTAGAGAAAGGTCTGGAAAAGGTTATTAACACAATGGACCACCAAGATTAAGATGTATAAAACATTATCAATTCCACTGCCAGTGAATTTCTGGGCTATATGAAAGTCTGTTCAACTTTCCTAGATTTTCAAAACTGCATCTCAAATTCCATGTTGAGAGTCACACTAACTACAGTAGCAAATGTAGCATCACTGGACTTTAATTCTGGGAATCAGATGGGCATGATATTAATTGGTTTTCAGTTTCTGAGTCAGTCATAGGGTTGAGTTTTTTTTTAAATGTTCTCCCACCTCTGGCTTAAATTCATACTTATGGTACCACTGAGAATTTTTTTAAATTTTAATGGAGTTGATTTTTATCACTCTTTTCCTCCCTGATTTGTACTTTGTGTGTCTTACACTTCCATTCCCTATCCTGATATCATAAAGATGCTCTTCTATGTATTGTTCTAAAAGCTTTTCTTTAATTTTATTTTGTTTTTACATAATCTATCTGGAATGAGGAATGTAATAGGAACAAAATTTGCAATTGTTTTCTACACAGACAATTCTCCCAGCCCTGGACATTGCATTGTCTGTCTTCTCTGCATTATCTGCACAGCCAGGTTTCCACTCAGGTATGATGTATTAGGGAAGGTACACAATCAAGCTCTCAAGTCTCAATAACTTCACATAAGAAAAGTTTCTTTTTGGGTCATGGACCATCTAACCCAGATGATATGGATGGTCTGCTGTTTTAGGAAGATGTCCTCTGGGTAGAATTCAGGGACCCCACTCTTTTTGCCCTTCCCTGAGGTTCTCAAGAGAAGTTAACAGCATTCAGCTGTTAGATGAGGAAAAAGTAAATTGTTCAGGGGAACACTTTATGGGTCATGGCTGAGAATGAGATGTATCATTTATGTCTTCAGTCCATTGGTTGGAATGCAGTCACAGGGCCAGCAAGTCAGGCTGAGAAATGTAGTTTAATTTATATCCAGGAGAAAGGAAGATGGTTTGATGAATATATATCTACTCTCTGCAATAGAAGGCTCCATTTTTGAGCTCTCTATTTTGTTTCACTGATCTATTTGTCTATCACTATGCCAATACCTTTCTGCATTTATTTACTATAGTATAGGTTACAAGACAAGTGTTCTCAATTATCTTGGCTACATCTGGACCTTTATTCTTGGACACAGATTAAAGAATATGCTTGCTAAACAACCCAATATCAACCAATGAAATTGAAAACGTAATTAAAAACTCACCAACTAAGAAAAGCCCAGGTTCTGATGGCTTCACCACTGAGTTCTACAAGACATTTAGAGAGGAGCTACTGCCACTACTGTTTAAACTCTTCAATGATTGAAAGGGAAGCAATACTCCCAAATTCATTTCTGGAAGCAAGCATCACCTTGATCCCCAAAGCAGAGAAAGACCCAACTGAAAAAGAGAACTATAGGCCAATCTC